CCTGTACAGGGTTTCCAAGGCTGTAAATCTTTACAGGAGCAGAAAGCCTCATCTTTCTCCTGCAGAACAGCTGGTAGTTTCAAACTGCTGACCTTGGCAGTTGTAGAGAAAGTAAAAACATTATTAATTGGTATCATAACATTTGTTTGTGTTTCTGCCTCTACCATTTCATATCCTCCAGTGTGTGGTGCTGTAAGATAAGCACTCAACTGTAATGTTGGTTTGATCTAAAAGGTCAGTGGTTCAAAACTATGAGCTGCTGCTCAGAAACCCCACAAAAGGTCACTCTGAGTCTGAATCAACTCAGCGGCACCTGGCTAAAACAATGTGAGTAAGGTGTTTAAGACTCCACCATATGTACAAACTAACTATTAGATGCCCTTTTTCAAGAAACCCCTTTACAATACCTTATTTTATAATATGTGACCTGGTGTGGTGCTATAGGATATGCACTGGACTGCTAACTACAAGGTAAGTGGTTCAATTCCACCAGCTGGTCCTCGGAAAACATAGTGTCACTATCAGTTGGAACCACCTTGACACTTAACATTTTGTGAGCTCTTTTTTTCCTGAGCTCTTAATAACACTTTCTTATTTAATCCTCATAACTACTATTGTTTTCTGGTGACCAGATTGAAACACAGACAACCTCTGGTTTACTTACTTTAGGCATCCAGTTATAAACAATGGAGCTCATATACACTCCTGGTGTGGCGCTGTGGAGTAATGCGCCAGACTGCAAAGCCATTTGAACTGCAAGGACAGCAGTTCAAGCTCACCAGCTGCTCCTTGGAAATCCTATACAGGGTCTCTATGGGTCAAACTGACTCCACGGCACTTAACAACAACAGCAACAAATATAAACTCTTAACATACAGGTTGAAGTATTTGTCTTGCAAAGAATGGGACTGTTTTCCCCTCTGAGATAAAAGGGGATAAGACCAGGAGAGATACAGGTTAATATAGGGCTTCCTGGTCCAGAATTAGAGTTTTACAGTCTCTCAAGCTATTTGCATTCTATTTGCAAGCTATTTGCATTCTAACCCCTAAGTAAATGACCTAAAATCCTAAAGAACAGGCTGAAATTATCCTGTCTTGCCTTTTTTAACTTCAGCCAATGAAAAAATCATAGAAACCTTTATTAGACAAAATATCAAATGTGCAATTATTGTTTCTCAACGTATCGTCCATCTAGGTCTCTACATTTTGAAGGCAGTGTTCCCATCTCTCTAACACTTCCCTGAAGAATGCTGTGTGATAGACACTATGTCAGAATGGCAATTTTAATATCTTTGAGGGCCTCTAGTCATATTTTCTTTTAAGTTTTTTGAGTTTTGGGAATAAAGTTTCCCAATGAAATTCTCATGGGATAACTCTTGCTTCACTTGAAGAATGAGCAGGTGCAGAATACTGTTGTGATGACAAAAAAGTGCCCTCGGCACAAGTTTCCTGGTCTTTTTCTCACTAGTGCAAATTTCACTTTTCTTAAAACTTTCTAATCAACCCCTATGATCCATCCCCACGAAAATTTACTAAGATTATCCCTTGAGAATCCTGAAAAGCAGTCACCATAACCTTCTGAGCTGTCCTCTATGCCTTGAATTCATCTTTGAGGTTTTACTGACCTTTCTTACAGTCCTTGATTTAAAATCTTGTTTTATGTTGCAGAGCATTCCCATAAATTTGTTGAAAAGCTTCAGTGATTTTCCCAAATATTCAAATCATTGAATCTTCCAAAAAAATAAGAAACTAGCCCCAACCTCCACTACTCTTCTGTCAGTACTGTGATGGCTCGGGTGTTGCTGTGAATCTGGAAGCTATGCCATGGG